GTGTGTGTGTGTGTGTGTGTGTGTGTCTCCAGGTCAGACGTGTGACCCCAGCTGTCACAACAGCTCGTGCTGGGCAGCCGGACAGGATCACTGTCAGAGATGTAAGCACGCACTCCTTCCTGCTCTCACACAGTCGTTCACTGTACGTTCAAAGTCACATGATGGTACGTGTCGATTGTCTCTCTCTGTCTGTTTCTGTTAGTCACCAAGCTGCTGTGTGCAGAGCAGTGCAGCTGGAGGTGTCGGGGGCCCAAACCCGTCGACTGCTGTAACGAGCACTGTGCTGCGGGCTGCACTGGGCCTCGGGCCACCGACTGCCTGGTCAGTGTTAATCCTCACACAGCACTGCTGCAGTTACAGTTTGCATGTCTGGGACAAAGATTTTTACAGGACAAGACGGGCAGGTGTTCACCAATCAGCAAAGACACATTTACAAGACTCTGAATATTTCATTATGTACAGTACATAAGATCATTAAAAGATTCAGAGAATCTGGAGCGATCAGTAAAAATCAGTACTGGATAGACGTGAACTTCGGGGGCTCAGACAGCACTGCATTAATAGCAGGTGTGATTGTGTGATGGGGATCAGTGACAGGTTTCACAGCTCAGCTCCACATCTGCAGATCAGAGCGCCATCATGCAGAGAAGAAGCTCCAGATGTGAACATGACATAAAACAGCTGATTTTTTAATTCTGCATATTTTTCACACTTTCATGTTTCAGACCATCACACAGACTTTAATGTTAAAATAAAAAAAGGTATCCAAACTTACTCGGGGAAAAAGTAGTTTCTTCCGCCTCGTTAATTCATAAACTGTAATTAAACACATTTTTAGAAAGTTCAGCTGGACTAGCATCACCTGGGCCCAGCCTGCTGTGTGGCTGCTGAACTGGCCTGCCTACAGTCTAGACCTTGGGCCAGCTGAGAACATCTGGAACATCACAGAACCAGAAACAGGATGAACAAAGCCAGGACTGCTGAGCAGCTGGAATCCTTCATCAGAGCAGGACAGCTGCTGGCCTCAGCTCACAGACCTTTACAGACCTTTACATAGACCTGTTCTACCTTACGGATGTGTTCCTGCCATCAAATTTAAAATGAGCTCATATTTTTCTTATTTTCTTAGTTTAAAGATTTGATATGCGTTCCATGTTACAACTGTGTCGTGTCACAACTTTTTCAGAATTGATGTTTTAAAAAACTCGGGCTAAAAAACATCTTATTAAAAGACTAAATACAGGCTGTTTTCTCTGTCTGTCCTCGTGCTCTCCAGGCCTGCAGGGCTTTCAACGATGATGGAATCTGTAAAGACGCGTGTCCACCTTTGAAACGCTATGACTCCATACTTCATCAGGTGGTCGAAAACCCCAACTCCAAATTCACCTTTGGAGCGACCTGCGTCAAAGCCTGCCCACGTACGGACTTACACATAAGTCACATCATCCACCTGTGGTGGTGTCCCTGGAAGCCTCAGTGTGACAGGGTTGAAAACAATGTAGCTTCCAGCTAGAGACCTAAACATGGTCTTTGTCCTTAATGAGCTCTGTTTGCTTCTGGTTGGGTGTAGATAACTACGTGGTGACTGAAGGCTCGTGTGTTCGTTCCTGTAGCAACAGGATGTACGAGGTGAAGGAGAATGGAATCCAACGCTGCAAAGACTGTGACGGACCCTGTCCTAAAGGTAGAGAGCGCGCGAGTGAGAGACACCTGAGAATCAATCAAATCACCTGACCAGCTCTTTCTCTCCTGCAGCATGTGACGGGGTCAGGTTTGGCACTCTGATCAACACCATCGCTATCAACGCCTCCAACATTGACTTGTTTAAGGACTGCACCAAAATCAACGGCGACGTCGTCATCCTTGAATCCTCCTTCACTGGGTGAGGAGCTCCTCCCACTAAACATCACAGTGTTACACTGCGACTTCACGGTAGCTGGATGCTAACAGCATCATACCCACAGCCACACCTCAGCACATCGCCAAAGCTCACCTGTCATGAAACACAGGCTTCTTTAAGTTAGCCTGACAGAAATAAATGACTTATTCATGTTCGGTGCAGTCAGCTGAGTAGGCCGTCCTCTGTGTCAATGACTTGTGCTGATTTGCCATTCCAGGGATCCACATTACAACATCCCACCCATGGAGCCCGAGAAGCTGGAGAACTTCAAGACAGTGAAGGAAATCACTGGTAGGTCTACAGCCTGAGAGCAATGGGAGTCACACTAACTGAATCTGTAGTTTGTTGCCTTCTGATTCATGGAGTTTTTAAAGTTTTGAAGATTGCAGCAACAACCAGTGTTTGTGTCGTCCAGGTTACCTGATGATTCAGTTCTGGCCCAAGAATCTGACCTCTCTGGCTGTGTTTGAGAACCTGGAGATCATCAGAGGAAGAACGACATTCTCGTGAGTCTCACTGTCCAGAAATACCAGAAATATGTGAAATATGTGGGTTTTCTTTCCAAACTGATAACAGTTAACACCGAGGTTATAAAGGAACTATGACAACTAAACCTCTGAGCTATTCTGGGCCCATAAATCTGCTTGCATAATGGGTGGTTTCTTTTGCACTCTGACAAATGGAAGTGTAGCTCAACACTGGTTTCATATGTAGATATTTGGTCTGTGTTTCGTTTGACTTCAGACTTTACTCAGTATCAGTGTCAGCATGACCTGATTTAGTAAGCGGAAGAAGATGGATGGTTGGTGGATGGATGTTGGATGGATGGATGGTTGTTGGACCAGCAAGAGTGCTGATGGTGGCTCTGTATTGTTTCTGTACCCCCTCTTATGGACTCTTGCTCTTCAGGAAACACAGTTTGGCCGTGGTGAGCTTGAAGCACCTGCGGTGGCTGGGTTTGCGCTCTCTGAAGGAGGTCAGTGCCGGAGTAGTGGCAGTGAAGAATAACCCCGAGTTATGTTATGTTTGGAAAGACCAGTGGGCCCACCTATTCAGATCAACCGACCAGACCATTAGCTTGTTGAAGAACAGTCCCCCTGATGTGTGTGGTGAGTCAAGAGTTCACGTTCAGCACAGCTATTGAATGAACGAATGCCTGAGAAATAAGACAATATTCTTGTCTCTGCGACACAGAGAGGAACAATCAAACCTGTGACACGGAGTGTACAGATTCAGGCTGCTGGGGTCCAGGGCCCACCATGTGTTTGTCCTGCCGGCAATTCAACCGCAAGGGCCGCTGTGTGGTGTCGTGCAACCTGCTGCAAGGGTGAGTTATAGACTTTAAACATTAGTGAAGCAGTTGCTGTGTCTCTGTGAAGCCTTTTGTCAGGCTTCAAAACAGGCTTTCTGCTGTCCGTTTATATTCAGCCAGAAGCTGAATAAAGTAATCAGCTAAGATTAGCTAGCTTGATTAGCTAGCTCAACCATAAACTTTGTAGATACACAGACATATATACGTGCTGAAAATATTTTAGGTTCTACATATATTTTTATTTAATACTAAATTTACAGAATCACTACACCCAACACTCAGAGAGCGGAGGTTACAGACATAACCTCAAGCTAACCTGGTGCTGCTGCTAAATTTGGCTGCTACCTTAGCTGCTACCTAGTCTCTCAATATTCACACTCTACACAATTAATGTCACAAACACAGATGATACACAAACATCTAAAATCAAATAAACTTGTTCTACAGCACACACACATCCAGGTAAAAGTTGTCATTGTCCCTGCAGTCACTACACTCCCCAACATAAATACCAGTAATTCAGATGAGTGCAGGTTGCTCAGAAACAAATAAAAAAAAGCAGAATTTCACTCATCAAAAATGGAGGAAATACTTCTTCTAATGAAAATAGCTGCACAACAAGTCACCCCTGAACAGATGTTTAGAAGGTTAGTTAATTATGAATTATTCATTGTAACATGTGAGTCTGTGGGGCTGGACCCCCTGCTGGATACAGCCTTAAGTGGCTATTGGAGGAAATCCATCATTTCCATCAGTGCAGAAAACCGAGCTCTTGTTCCCCTGGTGAGCTTCTGCACACTAACTCTGGATCTTTCTCTGTGTCCTCCTGCAGGGAACCCAGAGAGGTGGAGGTAAATGGCAGCTGTGTCCAGTGTCACCCAGAGTGTCTGCTGCAAACCGGGTCGCTGACCTGCTCCGGACCGGTCAGTGCAGCTTCTACTGCTATTGTTGCCATTGTTGCTAGGAGGAGTGTACAGTATGAAATAGCATCGGACAGTCAAAGCATACAAGCAACTGTAACAGCTGCTGATTTTTCTAATTAATACTTCGTACTCTTCTTCAAGTCATGTCTGAACCTGAAAGTTCAAACTTTTTAAGGTTTTTCAAAGCAGATCTTTAAGATTTTGTGTATTAAAAACATATTTTTAGTTCTTTTTGAGATTTATATCAAAAATTAAGGTAAAAAGGGCATGATCAGTAGATGTTAAATTAATCCTTCAGACAAATACAGGAGCAAGGGTGTTAACAACGGGACAGGAAACATGAGGAATCTGTAGATTTCGCTTTGAGAATGAAACATTTTTTGGCACATTTTGTTTTTCTGTAAATATTTTGGTCCTTGTACAAAGACAAAAATCATAAATCGTGGTTTAGAAAATGAACATCCCCATCATCATCCCCACCTGCAGGGCCCTGACAAATGTTCCCAGTGTGCCCATGTTAAAGATGGCCCCCACTGCGTGCCACACTGCCCTCATGGTGTGCAGGGAGAGGGAGGCAAGTTGGTCTGGAAATACGCCGACAGAATGGGCCAGTGCCAGTCCTGCCACCAGAACTGCAGTGAGGGGTGAGGCGAATGCTGCTGAATCCCCGCTGAGGGTGTCGGCAGAGCAGCTGGTATTAAACAGAGCGTCTAACACTGGATTTAAGATGTTTTGTGTCTGTGTGTCTGCAGATGTTCTGGTCCTGGATTGTCTGGATGCAATGGGTAAAAATGTATCTTTGGTTGTATCTTAACTGAAATCAACACAGAAAAGATGATGCCAAATAAACTTTTGCATTTCAACAATATATATATATATGGAGCGTCTGCCTCTCATTCTCCCTCTCCTGCTGCTACTTCAATCATGAAACTGATCAATGATCAGCTGATCGTCTCTCTGGTTTGTTTTTGGCCCACTTTGCACCAGAAAGAGGAAACCAGCGGCTGAACAACAGCAGCACGTTTAAGCTTGATCAGCTGTTGTTAGAATTTATTTAATATTACTTCCTACTCGAGGATCTTTTTCTACAGCTGACGGCTGTAACTGTGCAGGGGCGGATCTAGCAAAGTTTAGCCAGGGGGGCCGATAGGGCATTAACAGGGAAAAGGGGGCACAAAGACATACTTTTCTTTCTTATTCTCATTTAAAATGTCGAGCTTTTAATAATTATCTGAATCTTACAACCAAAGTTTTCATGTGATGTAAAAAGTATAGAAGTCCATCACTGTATATAGTAACTGTTAAGTCTAATATACCCTAGTAAACTATAGTGCTTTTTCCTTTGGGAAGGTACCATCTGTGCAGTCTGCAATTTTGTTGAAGAAAGATGTTGAATCTATTTAATTATTGTAGAAAAATAATTGATTTCTGTGCATTTTTTACACGCACATTACGTCGATTAATCATGATGAGGTGGGGGGTGGTTCCCTTTATTGTGTTGCTGGGAGTTTGCAACCCTTTTAGTTTGGTTATTTAATATTTCTGCTAAGTACTCTTTAAAATACCAGAATAGGGAGGATGGAGCAGGTTTAAGTTTATTAGATTGATCAGTTTTGCTGAACTATGAAATATTTTGGGTGCAGTGTGTTTTTTACATACAGGTATAGCAGAATATTTTTTTACTTCAGTATGAACTTATACAAAATGCAGAAAGATATTTAAAAAAAAGTTTTACCGATTATAAAATGCACTGTATCAGATTTATATCAGTATCGGCCGATATTCAAATTTATGATATCGGTATCGGGAATAAAAAAGTGGTATCGTGCCATCTCCAGTTTGAACAGGACTCTATGACTCTGCATGCTGTCAGCATCTTTTAACGCTCTCTCTTCACAGCTCTCTTGCACACTCTACACTGGCGGCCAGTGTGATTGGAGGGCTCCTGCTTCTCGTCATTGTGTCGCTGATCATCTTTGTGTTGCTACGACGAATACAAATTAAGAGGAAGCGAACTGTACGCCGCCTGCTGCAGGAGAGAGAGGTGAAGACTCTGCTTTTCATTCTGCATTTAAAACATGATCGATAGTAAAATGAATGCGTTAATGATGAACCTGGGTTTGATTTGGTTGGTAGCTCTAAAATATGAACTGAAGTCTCTCTACATATGATGCTATTGGATGACTTTTGTCATTCAAATGTTGTAGCTGGTGGAGCCGCTGACCCCCAGTGGTCAGGCACCTAACCAGGCACTGCTGAGGATCCTGAAGGAGACCGAGTTTAAGAAGGTCAGGGTGCTCGGCTCCGGCGCCTTTGGGACGGTGTACAAGGTAAATATGTTTGATACAAGAGAATGATCCCCTCATGGTGGTACTTTAAATGTTTAGTCATGTGAGTGCAGCAGAGGAAATGCTGCTGTCATCCAACACTTGAGACTTGAACGCACCACAGCCCAGTCGCACTCCTGCTAGTTGGACAGAATAAAGTGTTTGTTTGTTTAGGGTTTGTGGATCCCTGAAGGCGAGAATGTGAAGATCCCAGTAGCCATCAAAGTTCTCAGAGAGGCCACGTCACCGAAAGCCAACCAAGAAGTCCTGGATGTAAGACTCCTCTGTGTGCTTCTTTTTTTTCCTGCTCTACAAACACATTGTTAGTGACTGTTAAGTATTTTGTGTCTTGAATTTTAAGTCGCTCCACCAAATATCTTCTTACATTTAAGTGGTTTAAAAAAGTTGGATCTTAATCTTGAGTTGATTAAAGGGCGCACTGAAGTTAAAAATGCTCCACAGCTGCATCTGTAGCTCAGACTTTCCAGTGGATGTTTCTCAGTAACACTGCTGTCTGTGTAGGAAGCGTATGTGATGGCGAGTGTGGATCACCCTCATGTGTGCCGCCTGCTGGGAATCTGCCTGACATCATCAGTCCAGCTGGTTACCCAGCTGATGCCGTACGGCTGCTTGCTGGACTATGTTCGGCACCACAGGGACAGCATTGGGGCGCAGTGGCTGCTCAACTGGTGTGTCCAGATTGCTAAGGTGAGTAAATGAGGTCAGCAAGACCTCCTCTAAGGAGAAACTCTCCTGCCTGAGGCGCCAGCTCAGTGTTCAGCTCTCTTTAAGTCTGCTGAGGCTCATTAATGCAAACACAAGAAACCGTGTGCTAATCTGTTTAGTCCGTTTTAAGTCTGATTTGGATTTTTAAGTGCTGGGAAAATCACAAGGTACAAGGTCAGAGGCTCACAGTGAAACCTGATGAGAGCAGTCTCCATTCATAAAGTGTGCTGATGGGATCGTGGGTGCTGAATATGGAGCTGATGGCAAGAGAAAAACGGGAAAACCTCAGAGATAGTTCATGGATGCAGTGAAGGAGGACGTGCAGAAAGCTGGTGTGACCGATGAGGATGCTGGGAGAGGGGGAGATGGGGGCAGATGAGCTGCTCTGGCGCCCCCTAAAGGCAGCAGCCTGATAAAGTTAAACAAAAACAAACAATTTACACAGATGAGTTACAGTCATTTACACATTTTTGTATGAGGCTGTAAGCATGTTTATTTCTGCTGTAACTTTTGACATTTTTACACGTGGATCTGTGGACACTGAACGATTGTTGGAGTCAGCATCACCTGCAGTTTCTGGACTTCATTTCTTTTGCAGAGATACTGGTGCTGCAGCCCAGCCAGTTATCACACAGCTGGTTTTACTCATACTGAAAACTTGTGTGCATGCATGACGTTTGTGTGCAGGGGATGAACTACCTGGAGGAGCGTCACCTGGTGCATCGTGACCTGGCTGCAAGGAACGTCCTTTTGAAGAGTCCTAACCACGTCAAGATCACCGACTTCGGCCTTGCCAAGCTTCTGACGGCAGATGAGAAGGAATATCACGCTGATGGAGGAAAGGTGTGTTTTCATGTGACTGGCACTCGGAGACGAGCTGATTTCTATCAGGACAAAACCACAAAAGACTAAATCAGACAGGATGTTGATGTTGTTAAAATGTTCCTCACCTGTCTGTGTGTGTTTGTCTTCCTCTGTTTAACGCAGGTTCCCATTAAGTGGATGGCATTAGAGTCGATCCTCCAGTGGACTTACACCCATCAGAGTGATGTCTGGAGTTACGGTGGGTCAATCTGTGGCTCTCTAGCCTGCACAAGGCCCACTGGGTACTTGTTTCACTACACCTGAAAAAGTTATTTTCTTACTGTGACATAAAAAGACAGCTGTTCTATCACAGCTGGGATAGGCTCCACCCACGACACTGAATTTGATAAGTGGAAGCAGATTGGATATAAAAAAGTATCATGAGGTAGCCTTTCATAAAGAATCGTCTGCTTTATTGTCTATTTTACTTCGAATGGAAACATTGAAATTGAAACCATTAACATGCTGTTGTCTTGTGTATGACCTGACACAAGAGGTCGACCATAAACTCCTAAAATGCTCTCTGATGTCATAGATCCAGTGAGCATCAGAGTGATCTTCTCATAGAGTTCAGTCTGACAGGACTGCCCCCTCCTGGGCATTTGAAAGAAAAACGGTTCAGGTTCAAGATGCTTACTTACTGATTCACTGTTTGGGACCCAGAAGATATTTCTGTCTTTTATATACATGCAAATAAAAATGATCATTATCATTAAAATTCTCATCAGGAACAAACCCTCCTTGAACTCATGTTGTTTACTTCATCGTGTCTGTTGTTGTGTGACGGAGGTTTTACCGAGCGCTGAGTCTGCTCTAACAGTCGATGGTCTGCAGGTGTGACGGTGTGGGAGATCATGACGTTCGGCTCCAAGCCATACGACGGCATCCCGGCCAGCGAGATCGCCACGGTGCTGGGGAGAGGCGAGCGGCTGCCTCAGCCCCCCATCTGCACCATCGATGTCTACATGATCATGGTCAAATGTAAGACGAGACGCAGGTGGTGCTGGTAGAAAAATTGCGCCTTGATGGGAACATGAAGGTGTCAAACTTTTAAATAGTTATGTCTCCATCATGTCTCCAAATCGGGCGTCTGTTTGTCTTACGATGGCTCCAGGCTACGGTCTAAATTTCATCAAGTCAGACAAAAAAATTCTACATCAAGTACTAAAAGTTCTTTGGTATGACGAACACGAATATAAAGTCTGGAGCAGCTCAGCTGTACAGAAGACTGAAAATCATCCCCTTTGCTTCTGCAGGCTGGATGATCGACCCGTCCAGTCGGCCCAGGTTCAAAGAGCTGATGGTGGAGTTCTCCAAGATGGCCAGCGACCCGTCCAGATACCTGGTCATACAGGTAAACCAGGGATTTCATGTCATTTACTTGTATAATGACACTTATAAAAAGATTTTCTTCACTGAGGGTTGGTAATATGGAGATCCTTTACCGTCTGACTGTCCAGATATTTTCTACATGTAATAATATTAATATTGTCTTATTTCTCAGACATTTGTTCATTCAAAAGCTGTGCTGAACGTGAACTCTTGACTCACCACACACATCAGGGGGACTGTTGTTAAACAAGCTAATGGTCTGATCGGTCGAATATTTGTGACATTTGTGAGAAATCATTTACGCTCATAGGACTCAGTGTTTCTGTATGGAGCTAAATCACTTGGTCAGCAATCAGTTCTATTATTAACAATCCAAAAATATTTACATTTTAACCTTAACAATAATCTACTTTTATAGTAATCAAAAAACTACAGGAATAAACCAAAACCTTCTTACTGAAAATGAAAGAAGGAAGCTGACACTCAACCTAATTAACCTAATTAATAAGTTAACTGATTAGAAAAAGATAAAGCATTTCTACTTCTAATGATCACATTTAACTCAGTTTTTCCTGTTTTGAAAATGAAGATATTAGAAAAATAAAACAATTTTGTTTTCATATGGAAAACCGTCCGTCGTCTTTTCTTTTTGTTTCCTCTTGAATATGATGAATTAAAGTATGATACAATTAATTTTTTAAATGTAAAGAACCAAATTCTGATCACAGTACGGGGTGCACGTGGAGAATATGTCACGATCTGGATCATTCAGACACAAAACAGGAATAAATTTAATCCAGGAGAAAAAGTATTTTAGAAATATCTACAGCTGAGATTTTTTTTATGAAACCACATGAACATAGTTGAATGATTAGACCCGACAAACATCATATCATCAGTTCATCTCTTTACTTCCTGTTTATTAGAGAATTAAGCAGTTTGGGATCAACGTGTGTTCTAACTCATTCTCACACGGTGAATATAGATGAGTAAACTGTTAAAATGAAATAATATTAGTATTTATTAACTGCACAGAACTAACAGGGGATGTAAAGTTTCGGTGTGTAGAAAGAAGCGGTTCAAAAGAAACACGAGAAAAGGATTTCAAACAAACTTCCAATAAATGCAAAGCTGTTTCTCTTTGGTTTCAATCCAGAAGATGATCATTATAATAAAAATGAACGAGCAATAATGATCGTCTTTAAAGAAAAAAACTGTTACATAGCATAAACTCGACTACATTAATTATTTTTGTCAGGGGGACCTGCCGAGTCCGTCAGACAGCAGGTTTTACTCTCGTCTGCTGAGCACCGACGACACCGAGGACGTTATTGACCCGGACGAATACCTGCTGCCCTACAGAGGCATGGGTAACCATAAGGACCGGCCCATGGTATGGACACACACACACACACACACACCTATTGTAGTCTAATCTAGTCTAAAGACACATTGTTACATTTCTATATGTTATATCAAACATTTTAGTAAGTGTTACATGAAAAAACATTGTGCTTAAGAAAGTGTTCGGCGCCCCCTGGTGACCCAAGTAAATGTAAACCGTCTACTTCCACTCGCCATAAGTGGCCAGAAGTACAGCTATTTATTTCCTCTGTGTTTCATTCTAATGAACGTGCTTTGATGAATCAGAGGTGTTTCATTGATTCTCTTCGTTCGTGTCAGAATGGTCATCCGGCCGGAGAGAACAGCCTCGCCCTGCGGTACATCACCGATCCCACTGACAGCGCACTGGAAAAGGACTTCATCGACCACGGTATCCATCATCAAACATAACTCAGACCAGTGACAAATAATTAGGAGATGTAAATCAATTAATAGCCAGACAGCAAACTGTCTTCATGACAGAAAATTAATTAATACCTAAACAGCATTTTCCTGCTGTCTTCCAGAGTACATGAACCAGAGTGTGAGTGAGACCAGCCAGAGCAGCCGGCTCTCCAAGGTTTTAAACCCTAATTATGAGGACCTGAGCCTGGGCTGGGGCCCACTTCCCCACCCGCTGGAGGATCTGAACACCTCCCAAGTGCCCTATGGACCTGAATACCTGAACGCGTCCTTCAAACTGCGCCCTCTGGTGACCAGTCACAGCCTTGATAATCCAGACTACCAGGCTGACTTCCTGCCTCAGACCATTAAAGATGCAACGTTAGCGGAGAACCATCTGTTCCTCCCAGCAGCAGAGAACCTCGAGTATCTGGGTGTGGGCGGTGCTCTACATGCTCCCGTCCGCTAGGGGGCAGCAGCACTCGGGCTGTCAGACTGAAGCTGTGCTCTACTTTCATTCAAGCTGCCCACAGGAATTAATTGTTTTACAGTCAGTTCTTCAGGAAACACTGACTCGAGCAGAGGCAGCACTTCATCCAGACCGACAGCCTCAGACTCACAATTGATGTTTGCAAGTTTGTTTGACTGGTAGGACCAAAGGACTTGGTTTAAGCTCTGCAGCTCCTGAACGAGTTTCTTTAACAGTCTCAGTCTGACTAAAACCTTCTGTTTGACTTGAAATACTCTGAATGAACTTTTATTGTATAAAGTGTATAAAGTTATGAATTCTTTGCTTTACTTGACAAGAATGAGCCAAATCGTGATTTCCTGTTAACCACTACTGCTCGTGTCTGTGTATCACTGTTGATAGTGTAAATTTATGGAAGTTGAGAGGCTGTCTGCAGGTACTGAGCCTTTGTCAGCTTTTCCTTTTCAAGAGAACAAATAGTTTTCATATTTATAGAAACGATGATGATCAGGACTTTAATGTGTTAGAGGAACATGGATGATGAAGATGTGCCCAACAACGAACAATAAAGAGCATCTGGCCAGAGTGGGAGCAGTTTGGAGTGAGTCTCGAGCGTCCAGACAGAAAAACTTTTCAATCTATCAAATTTAGATCCAACTTTTACAGGTCACAGTGCTGAACTGGTTGTTTTTAGTTTGAATATTCCAAAAAATCAACCCAAGTTTTATCGACAATGCTGAGTTATTGTCATTGTTGTGGTGCATCGGTACTGAGGGCCCCTCATAGATGATGGCTTGACGTTCGAGTCCCTGTTTGGCTGGAGCCTCTCTGTGACATAGGTGTAAACTGGCTGTAGTGGTGGAAAGCATAAAGTACTACATGAATGTGTCTGTAGCGTAGAAGGCTTTGAGTTAAAAAAAACAACAACTGCTTTTTAAGGCGGTAGTGTTTAGAATGAATCAGCTAATTTCTCTGTGCTTGAACTCATTTGGAGACATATCATGTAAATTATGACCTTTGACAGCCTTCAGCCTCCATAGAGAACCACACTGAATGTCTGTATATGTGATGTGACTCGGTTTGGCTTTAACTGTGGTTAGATGTGAACTCGGGTGTGAATTCAGTTTTCTTTCGCTGACCTGCTAACAGGTTACATTCGCTGTTTTCTTGTTTGACACTGAATGAAGTTAAATATCTGCAGGATATTTATCTAAGGTTTATTTAGAGCAAAATTCCACAAATGTCAGCACCAATCTTTTAGAGTTCGTAGGTGGAAAACGTGGGAATGCTCAGTGTGGTCTCAGAATAAGGTGTTGCCTCAGGTGGAAGGTTGAGACCTTAATACAAAGAGATGATATAAATATATTCCTGCCCTCACCTATGGGCACAAACTGTGGGTATCACAATAATAAGGGAGTCGAGCTCAGCCTGATGTGGGTGTTAGTTTCCCCAACATCTGCCAGAGTCTCCTGAAGTCCAAGTGACTTATGGATCTGAGTGGATATCCTCATGCCTGCCAGCTCTGTGACTGTGCACACACGTTGTGTTGTCTCCATCTCTAAGTGTCAGAGTATGTTCACCACTTAAGAGATAAAATAACAACCTGAGCAGCTACTACTCCATAATGGAAGGATCCAGACGTGCTTGTGTCATCTGACTGTTTCTACCCAGGAAGCAGTGGGGAGTCTCTTGGCTGGATTAGGAATACATCATTATTCCTGTGGAAGAGCTGAAAGTGGTGGAAATGGAGAGGAAGGTCTGGGCATGTCTGCTGAGACTGCTGCCCCAACATCTGGATGCTGACAAGCAGTGGAAAGTGGATGGATGGAGGAATGTAACCATGATGACTATGATGGATGGACAGGAAAGACTCTGAGAAAACTTCAAACTAAAAGATCATAAGAAGAGAACAGAAACCAAACCATTCCTGTACATGTTGCTTCTATGTGATTAACCTCACTGCTATTTCAGCTAATATTGTGTGAGTAGTGAGTGGTGTTCTTTGCCTCTCGCAGATCAGGGTTCACTGAGTAAGCATTGCTGGGTTTTCATAAAAAATGTAAACTAAAACTTTATTTAATACATCGGAAAGACCTACATGTAAAATATGAGCTTTTCGTGACATTGGTTTTTCAAAGTTTAATTTCAGTTTTTGATCATTTATGGAGTGTGATGACAGCTGCCATGTTGTCTCTCTTCACTCTAACAGTCACTCGATTATCAGTTATTATTATTTTCACTCCAGAGACACTGGCACATGTCCCTGCATGAACCATGTAAATGATCCAGCTGATGTATGGGGACGTTATCTCTGTCGTGTTCTGTGCTGGTTTGTTGTGGATTCTGTGACCCCCTCTGAGTCCAGAGCAGGCTTTTCCTCCATCATCCAGGGGTGGAGTCATGATTCCCGCCCTTCATCATCCTCATTAAACACAGGTAGTTAAGGACCAGCTCGAGCATCCAGTCTAAACCTGATAGTCTGCTCCTGCTAATGCTTTTGTCTCCCTGTTCCCAGCATCACCTCCCCTACCTGAGGAGGGAGTTACTCACCTTTACAGCTTACCTGCTTCCTCAGAGCTGGTCCTCTTCCTTCTGGAACACACTTCCTTTGCATCCTGGTCTTCAGGGAACCTCTCCCTGCGAGTAAAAAGAAACAGTGGCAGAAGGATTCTCTCCTGCAATGATCAAACCTTATTTGAGTAGCTTTGTTGTAAGAAATAAAAGCCTTGTGACTGTGAACGCTGTGTCTGTCATTTTGCCTTGTCCTGAGTGGCCCGCACCTCTTCAATGGCTTCCTGAGTGAAGACATCCCAGCTTCCACAGGGTGAGAGGCAGGTACATCCTGGACAGGTCGTCACTCTGATGCAGGGCTAACCATTCACAGCTATGGGCAAGAACCACCAGTGACCCTAACCCCACCAACTGCATGTGTTTGGAAAATAATTATTTTGTGTCATCACTCATCCTGAAAGAAAGTTTAAAGTCGAATCTCTAACCATCCCCTGAATCCATCCTGGCAGCTCGTTCCACATGAGCGGCGTCTGAAAGCTCTAAAACGTCTAATAACTACAAGTAAGTTGGCAGTGTGAGAAAGAAGAGCTCTAATGGGTGATATGGTACTATAAGTTTGACACCTAGGGTCTCAAAATAATGAGACACTGAAGAACATGTGGACACTCGCTCAAAGTAGGCCAATGATAATGATCAGCAAGATGAAATTAGCTAATACTAAAATATTCAACACTGCTACAATCTAACTGTAAAAACAATGGATATTTACAATAAAGGATGTTTGAGCAAAAAGAAAACTTGAGTGAAACTGGATCTGTGCTGTCATATGTATTCATCAAAGAATCTCCATCCATTCATCTTCATCCGCTTTGTCCGAGGCCGGGTCGCTGGGGCAGCAGCCTAAGCAGAGAGGCCCAGACCTCCCTCTCCCCAGCCACCTCCTCCAGCTTATCTGGGGGAACACCAAGGCGTTCCCAGGCCAGCCAAGAGATATAATCTCTCCAGCGTGTCCTGGGTCTGCCCCGGGGCCTCCTCCTGGTGGGACATGCCTGGAACACCTCACCCAGGAGGCGCCCAGATGCCCGAACCACCTCAGCTGGCTCCTTTCGATGTGGAGCAGCAGCGGCTCTACTCTGAGCCCCTCCTACTTCTCACCCTATCTCTAAGGGAGAGGCCAGCCACCCTTCGGAGGAAGCTTATTTACGCTGCTCCCTTCTCCCATCACTCGCGAACAAGACCCCGAGATACTTGAACTCCTCCACTTGGGGCAGGAACTCATCCCCGACCCGGAGTGGGCACTCCACCCTTTTCCGGCTGAGAACCATGGCCTCAGATTTGGAGGTGCTGATCCTCATTCCCGCTGCTTCACACTCGGCTGCGAACCGTTCCAGTGCGAGCTGGAGGCCCTCACCCGATGAAGCCAACAGAACCACATCATCCGCAAAAAACAAAGAATCTCATGTGCCGTTACTATTATTATTATGTGTGGGGTCACTGTTCTCTCTGAAGTCGTTCTATCTCGCATTAAACTTCACTGAAGTCCAGCTTCAATATCCTCCGAGGAACGTTTGACGGGAATCAAAGAAAGAAACTGTAACCTGCTCAAAGTTCAGTCTTTTTTCTTTAAAGAGCAAAACTCAAGTAAAAAGAACATAAAGTGTTAGACTTTATTCAGTGCTCACATACATACACACACGTGATTGTGGGGTTTGTATAAAATATTTGTATACTAAATATAGATATTTGCAGGCACGGAGCCCGAGGCAAAGTTTGATCCACTCGGCTGTGGAAGAGACAGGGAACATACAAACACTATGATCATTACAGTGTGATGAGGATGACTGATGAAATATTCTGTTCAAAGTCAAATTTCTTTCATAGAGATTAAAAAGTTTAGCAAAAAACCTGCTGAATGGAGATCCAACTGAACAGCTTGGAAACAACACAGAATACAAGCAGCAACATCAAAGAGGGAGCAATAATAAAAGACAACACATGAACCAAAACACTAGGTTACAGAACTGGACAATCATTAGAATAGCCATAAAATAAAACGATCACATTATCGTTATTATAGACCCCAAATCACAGTAACTACTTCTCACAATATATGAAAGTAATACAAGAAATAACAACAGGAAACCAAAGGTTCACAAACAAAACCTGAAAAACTCTAGAACAGTGAGACAGAAATGAACCAAGACCTCAGTGAGACCACGAAAGTGCAGTGATAACAGTCACCTGCCCCAACAGTGCAGTGAGATTGGAGGGTTTGTGAATTTAACAGCTCTCCTCAGCCTGACTCTTTCTCTCTGTTAGCGTCATTAAACACAGACTAAAAGCTGCTCTGATCACCTTCGTCTCTACTCCACCTCTGGCCCAGTCCAGAGTGTTTCTATACACATGCTGCAGCTGATTCAGCCTCTCTGCACCATCAGGACACTGCCCATCCTCACTCTGCACATGCACCACCTTATTTATCATTTCCACCTGCAGAGAGAAGAGAAAGAGCAGAGGGGACAACAAGTGGCAGTTATGCAGTTTAAGTTAATTTCATGGTTTTGACTTACAATTTAAAATAATTTATGTTCAATAAATCCATTGTTGTTTTTAAACACGCATTTAAAGGTTCTACATAATGTGTCCAGGATGGAACCAATGTTCAATCTGTTGTTTAGGTTTGACAATATTTTACATGCCACACTCGGTAGAGGGCAGCATCTTCCCTTTCTCAGTCTGTGGATAGACATTTGGGGATGTGTGCAGCAAGGTTTGGGTACAGAGGGTGTTTTTATTAACCTCTTCAAGTTAATGCGGCCAATGGAGCATTTAATTAGTATTTTATGTGCTGGTATGAAAATAAGATGTTTATTTGTGACAGACCTGTCGAGTTTATGTTATTTATGTGTAATACAGTCGTCATTTTGTAAAGGTCAAATGAACTGATTGTGGATGTTTTGTGTTGGTGAATAATATGTTTTAATGTTTACTCGCTATGACAATGCCTTAATGTGAAAATTGATTATTTTATGTTGCTTTGTACAGTTTTCATGGCATCTAATAAATGCCAGTCAAGAACACCTTGTGTCTGTCATTCTACTTGGAGGGAGTTGCATCCAGTATAAAGAGCAGCAGGGACTTTAGTCCCATTCAGGGCAACAAGGTGGCTCAGGTTTGCACTATGAATTAAGTTCAACATACCCAGGATATTTTTCCATTATCTCTCTTTACTTAACCTGACTTCTTTTGGAGTATTAGCTTAAAAATCTACCCCAGATTCCAGCCTTCATCATTCAAGTCCAGCCTATTTGAAGCTGGAAAAACTCTGGCTGAAATGTTAACTGTGTAAATCAACATTTAACTCAGTATCATGTCTTTATCATCAAGTCATGGCAGTGTAATTATTATTCTATTAGATTAATATCACAGTTTTCAGTCGCAGCCTCTGTGATATGTAACAGGACATAAGACTATGATTTTTACTAATGCTCATCAGATAAAGACAAAGACTTAAGATGGTCATCTGTTTCTGAAATATCATTGGACTAATAAACATGACCGAATGTACTGAAAGAAAGACACATGTACAAATATGATTCGTGGATGTCGGAGCTTCTGGTCTGTAAATATCACATGGATAATAAATTTAATGACAGTTCTCTGATTTCAGGGCTGTGACAAAAATGAAACTGACCAGGTGTTTAGTTTTGAAATGAGAAAACAAAGTGTGAGATCAGATTTAATCCTCCCACAGTTTGATGAGTGAGGACCAACGTCTCTATAAATCTGTAATGTCAGTTGGATTTCATATGTATTTCGTGTAGACATGAACACAATAAAAACAGTCATTGTTCTCTTTGTGTTCTTGTCTCATAGGCTTCACTGAGAAAAGAGGTACTGAGAAAGCTGTAAATTTACAGGAAACACTGGAGTTTTTCTTTAATTCTTCACTGTGTTAATTATAGTACTGCTGAAAGTACCATGGACTCACTCCAACAATTTATTTACCTCAGAGTCTCCAGTCTACAGTGTGGGCTCTCCACCAGATCAGACAGCTGCTTCACATCTGAATCCTGAAGGTTGTTTCTTCTCATGTACAGCTGTCTCAGATAGGAGGATTTCAAAGCTGATACCAGATAATCACAGGCAATCTTTGACAAACCACAGTTTTCCAATCTGAAGAAGAAAAAAAAATTAGTTCATTAGTAAGTTTCAGTTTGAAGTCATTCAGTGTTTCATTATCTGTTGAAAGACAAAGAAGGTTAAAAATCTAGAACTATATAATATTCACACGATGCCATACTACTGAACTTTTATTTGTTTGACTCAGATTTTGTACAAAAGATTTTGCTTTTTATTTAAATGTCAGCTAGATTTTAAGGTAGAATGGAGTATCTATGGAGTATGGATCCTCAGTGTGGATCAGTATAATATCAGCCTGATGTCTGCAGTTTAGTGTCAGCACAACTTTCACATCATATTCATCTGAGCAACACTAAAACATGCTGACTGACCTCAGCGTTTCAAGTCCACATCCTGGACTCTCCAGAAAACCACACAGATGCTTCACTCCTGAATCCTGCACATCAGTGTTGTTACTCAGGTCCAGATGTTTCAGATGGGACAGGCTGGACTTTAAGGCTGAGACTAGAGAAGCACAGCTGACCTCTGACAACCAGCAGTACTCCAATCTAATTTCAATCAATCAATCAATCTTTATTTATAAAGCACTTTTCATACAAAAAAGAATGTAGCACAAAGTGCTTTACATGGTTAAAAGCAGCCCACCCCACCCTCCAACTCACTCCCCACACTCTCATTAACATAAACGATGTGAATACACGCATATCCCCCCCACACACACACACACACTTAAAGAGGAAAATTGGGCTGGGTACGCATGAGCCAAGTGAGG